CATCACTGTTTGCAGATATTCTTGCATGCTTAAAGGTCTCATTTTCTCCACTGATAGTTTAATTTACAGAAAATATATTACTCTATGTGTTTTGAATAGAGTGGAAATTAACATAGCTGGTTGATAAAAAACAACTTCAAATTACACGGTGCCTTGTTTTGTCAAAATATCTTGGTGCACCTGTTTTCTGAGCTACATGAGCTAAGCTATTAGAATTTTTTGGTAGCCTTCAGCAGAAGCACAGAGATAAAATCCTACCCAAGTGTCTTCTGGAGATGGCTCTGAAATCGAGGAGGGGTGGCAGAAAAATCCTTGCCAGTCCCTAAGATGCTAAGCATTCCTGAGACTAGGCCAACATGTGGCATATGCATCTGTTTGCTTATTTTTTTCTTTTTTTTTTTTGAGACAGGGTCTCCTGTAGCCCAGGCTGGGCTCAAACTCCTGATCCTCTAACCTCTACTTCCCAAGTGCTCGGATTACAGGCATATGGCATCATGCCCACCATGAAGGTTTCCTGAGTCTTGTTCTATTGGTCTACCACTCCAGGATTTGTAAATGCTGCTCCTTGAAAACTGTCCTGCTCCTTTAGGAAAGAAAGGCACCTTCCCAGGCTGGAGAGATGGCGCAGAGGTTAAGAACACTGGCTGTTCTTGAAAAAGACCCAGGTTTGAATCCCAGCACCCACATGGCAGCTAAGAACTGTCTGTAACTCCAGTTCCAGGGGATCCGTTGCCTTCTTCTGACCTCCGCAGGCATTGCAGGACACAGGTGCACTCACATACATTCAGGCAATACACACATACACATAAAATAAAAATAATATATATATATTTTTTTAAAGAAAGGCTCTTTCCCGTTCTCAAAGAAAGTGAAATGGAAAGGGAATCTGTCAGCACTAGGACTCTGCTTGAAATTTGTTGTATACTTACTGGTTATCAGCTCCAGCTGTGAGAATTCATTTCCTTCTTAAGAGAAGGTAATTAAGGACATTCACTATGCTGTTGTGTAGGAAAATTGCTTTTTCTTCTTTACACATTGAGTCTTTTCATGAAAGTCATTCAATATCTAACAGTTAAGGCTAATTTTTAGAGAAATTAAGTTATATAGACTCATATCTTATTTTGTAAAGTAATGTCTGGTGGAGATCAAGTAAGTCATGTTGTATATAAACAGAGATCACACTTAAGAACTGAAAGCCTATAACCTGACTTTTGAAGTTGGTTTTGCCAGATTAATTTTATGGTGCAAAGAAAAGTCAGAATAGCATTCTGCTGCTAGTTTAGTTCTTATTTGATCCTCACAATACCCTTCTAGAGAAAGGTACTATAATTTTCATCTTACAAATAAGGAGACATAAGCATAGGTAGGAGAAGTCTTGCCCATGTCATGTAGCTACCTAGCCACATAACTGAGCAGAACTTCCCTCTACAAATCCTGCCTCTGGCCCTTCAGAATATAAGTAGTTGTATCACACCATTTAAGTTAGAGGACTCATCAGCCCCAGACAATCAGCTGACACATGGAAAATGTTTTCAATAACTGATAAATAGATGACTTTAGTTCTTAGTTGAAGATTAGTACACTATTTTCCTTTTATAAACCCAGGACCTCTTTTGAAAGCTATGACTGAGGGTAGAAGGGACATATGCCATATAGTCCGATAGTCCGAGTATGCTGCCATTTTGTGCTTTAAAAATTGTTGGGGACTGGGGTGGAGGCAGGTGTGGTTGTAAACATTTTTAATCATAGCACTGGGGAGGCAGTGGCAGGCAGATTTCTGCGAGAGCAAGGCCAGCCTGGTCTACACAGTGAGTTCCAGGCCAGCCTGGGCTTCACGGAGACCCTGTCTCAAAGAGACAAAAAAAAAAAAAAAATGTTAGGGGAAGAGTTTGGTCTTGAACGTGAAATGTCCCCCATCAGTTCATATACTTGAAAACTTGGGCCCCATTTGGTACACCTGTTTCGGAAGGTTGAGGAGCTTTTAGGAGATGGAGTCTTGCTGGAGGAAGTAGGTCATTGGGGGCAGGTTTTGAGGCTTTAGAGTCCAGCCCTACCTTCCTGAGTCAATGTGACTAGCCCGCCTCCTGTTCCTGCAGCCATGCCTTCTCTCTCATGATGGACTGTATCCCTCTAAAACTGTAAGTCAAAGATAAACTACTTCTCTCTTAAGTTGCTTTTGAGAAAGTGAGGCAGGGAGACAGTCATAAATAAATGGCTAAGACTTCTTGGAGGACAAGCTGAGAATAAGGAAAGAATGTTTGTCTATAGAAGGGAAATTGTGTGGCTAGAAATAAGTGAGGCTAACATTCTATAAAGGCTCTTTAGTATTGCTTGATTCTTAAAAAGAAGTGTATCATTTTTTAATATTTTATTTTTATTTTATGTGTATGTGTGTATCACCTGCATGTAGGTAAGTGTACCCATGTCGTGCATTGCCTGTGGAGGACAGAAGAGGCCATCGGATCCCCTGGGACTGGAGTTATGGACAGTTGTTAGCTACCATGTGGGTGCTGGGATTTGGAACCTGGGTCTTCTGCAAGAACAGCCACTGTTCTTAACCGCTGAGCCATCTCTCCAGCACCCCCATTTTTTAAAAACATTAAATAATATTAAAAACAAAGTTTAATTCAACAGACTTAAGCCAAAGTTTCAAGAGGTTCCACGGACAGATTCTTTTTATCTCTGCAACCTTTTCATGGGCGATCTGGATAATGTTTCACCAGTGTGAGGCAGGAGTGAAGGAAAGAATCAGTGGAGATGAAAGGGCTCTTGGAAATGAGGCATATGAAAACCTGAAGTAGTGCAAGAAATAGGAATTTTCATGCCATCTGGTACTCCACCCCTGACTGTTAAAACCTGGGAGGCTGTAGAGACAATCTCCAGTAATGTTTTGTTTTTTCAGGAATATCCTAATGGAGTGCATAATAAATACTAAACTCTTTCCTCATCTACCTCTAAAGTCTCCTCTGCATCACCTGAATTGTTCTGCATCTTATACATCATATTAAAGGCTGCTAAAAATATGCTCCTCACTGTCAACTGAAGAGCTTCCTACTTGCCCATATTACTTAAAATACCTTCCCATCTGTTCCAGGTATCTGAAGTTAGACCTTAGATTTGTAAATACTTTAGTCAGGTCACTATTCCAACAAAAGACACTGCGATCAAGAGGCAGATTTTTTTCCCACTATTTTTATTTTTTGTATATACTAGTGTATTCCCTGCATGAAGGTTGGAGGAGGGCATCAGATTCCCCTGGAACTTGAGTTACAGTTGTTAGCTGTCACGTGAGCTGGGCATCGAACCCCGTTTTCTGCAAGAGCAGCCAGTGCTCTTAACTGTTGAGCCATCTCTCCAGTCTTCATCAGGCAGATTTTTAATTGCTTCAATGACAAGAGGACTTTTAAAAGCTATTTTTTGGAGACTCCTAAATCCAGTCACAACTCACTTGGCTTTTTACAAATGGTTTGCAATCTAGAGAAAACCTCTATGTAAATACAAGAATCATGACCTTATCTTTTATCCTGCGATTGTTTCTGTTAGTAATATAACCCAGGAGGAATAGCACCTACCCCAGAGAAGAATCCTGTGGAAAATGACTGGGCTGCCATTTTCATTGGTTTCTAAGGAACAGGGGGTTAGTTTATAATCACTAGAAAGCTCACAAGAGCCTCTCTTGCTGGCATGTGGGTGAAGATCACTATCTGTGGTGTCTGCATCAGCCCCAATAAGCTTCCAAGTCAATCACATTCAACAGCTTTACCTGGAGTATATACTCAGAATAATGGACTATAGGTGCTCAAAAAAACCTATGGAAGTGTAGTACTAAGCACAGTAGCCAAAAGGGGATAACTGCCCAAATAAGCTTTGATAGACTAAAAAGCTGTGGTGTACCCACAGACTGAAATACTAGTCTTAATGAGGAATGAAATACTGATGTGACAATATGGACATTTTATTAAATGAAACAAACAAGACAAAAGGGGTCTTATCCATTTACATGAAATTTCCAAAAGCTGTAAATCCACAGAAACAAAAAGCAAACTGGTAATGTGAAGGGCTGAAGGGACAAAATGCTTAATTGGGTACATAGTTTCATTGTGAATGATGACAGTTTCAAAACTGCAGAAAATGGATGCCCAATATTTTATGAATTGTGTTAAATGCCACTTAATTATCCACTTTAAAATGCCTTATTTTATGTTAAGCTTTAGATCTATTTGTAATTTAAGCAATAAATGCCTTATGCATTTTTATTTTCTATCTATCTATCTATCTATCTATCTATCTATCTATCTATCTATCTGTCATCAATCTATTTATCTAATAATAAATAAAATATTTTTAAAAACATGGTATAGCCATTATGGAAAATGTCTATCTATCTATCTATCTATCTATCATCTATCTATCTTCTGGGATCTCCCTGTAGCCCCAGCTGACTTGGAACTCACTATGTAGACCAGGCTGGCCTTAAACTCACAGATATCCACCTGCCTCTGTCTCCCGAGTTCTGGGATTAAAGGCATGTTCCATCATGCCTGGCTCAATCGATATTTTTAAAAATATTGCACCCATTTACCAACCCATGACTTACAGGACTGCTTCCCTTAAGAATAAAATTAGAATTATTATATAATTTATAATTTCACTTATAGCACACTCTGGTCTTTATTTTCCCAAATTCTTGAGCTGTCACCTACCTTATTGCAACTCATTTTACCTTAACTGCAGAATGCAAACCATATTTATTTACAACTATAATGGCACATAAAATTTCATGTGGGGTTGACAAGATAGTTTAGTGAGGGCCTTAGTTTATTTCCAAGGACCTACATGGTAGAAGGAGAAAATCAACTTCTACGAGTCGTCCTCTGCCTTCCACATGCCTACTGTGGCACCCATGCATCTTCCCCATACACAAACTAAATAAATGGGAAAAAAAAAAAAAAAAAAAAAAAAAAAAAAAAAAATAAGAAAGAAAATTCAAGTGAAAAAAACCCTGCTCTTTTAAAATTTACATATTATTTCTCTTTTTCCTCGAGGTTTATGTAAGTTCCAGTGATTGAGATGCTAAAAGCTCATGTTATTTGCAGAGAGAAAAAGTAAAATATCGATTGACTTAATATTTAACACTAGATGAGATCACTGAACCAATTCTAAGACATTCAAACTGATGGGCCCAGAGCCTCAGCAACACTGATGCATGACTGTAAAAAAAAAAAAAAATCCCTTTTGAATATTAGGAATTTTCAGATGGGTAGTCATGTTTATTTACTCTTTTAATGTAGCAATCTTGCATATAGAAATCTAGTCAATGTAAGAATAGGAGGTAGGAATTGGCTAGGCAGTTAGGGTAAAAAGACCCCAAAGAAAAGTAGCAAGTTTCTGGGCTAGAAGTCAAAATGTCCTTGGTCCTGTTAACAACATACTCTGTTTCAAAGGTCAAAAATATCAAAAGTATTTGGGAGCTTGTATCTAACCCTTAAAAGATTTTAGGGTTACCTCTTCAGGGGGGGAAATGTTGGAGGGGAGGGAGTGGGCATGGATTTGATCAAAACATCTTATATGCATGTATAATATGCTCAATAAAGTTTTTGTAAAAGTTTAAAAAAAAAGAAAAGAAACAAAATTCCATATCACAGAGTTGAATTAGAGTTCAAAAATAAGTTGATTTCAATTATGTGAGATTTTACATTGTTCTAGGTTGCATATGGCCTCTGGATTTCATGTGCTGAAAACTTGGCCCCCAATACAACAGTAATGAGAGGTGGGACCTTTTGTAGGTGAAGTGGCCCTGAGGGCTTTGCTTTCATGAGTATGTTAAGCCATTCCTGGTGATCACTAGAGTACTTTTGTTATCAAACTGAGTTCCATCTGGCATGCTTGCCCTATGGCAACATGTTACAATACAGGCAAGTAAATCTTGACCAGATGTCAAGCAGGCACCAGCATCAATATCTTGAATAATTCAGCTTCTAGAAACTTGAGAAAAAAACTTTCTATTCTTTGGAAATCACCAAGGTCTCAAGTATTTTGTTACAGCAACAGAAAACAGAGTAAATTATTTCCACAAGCTTTAACGAGTCAGTGAGTCAATGTACTGGGGACTTTTACTCTATCATAGGCTATAAAGAGAAATTTTGAGTCAACATAATTGCCTTTGTGTTGCAACAAAAAATAAAATTGATTTCAAAAAAAAAAAAAAAGAAAAGAAATCTAATCAGTAATTTTAACGAACACTTCTGTCCATGTCTACAAGCAGGCTATGAGCATTCATATATTACCTGTGTTGATCTATTCTACCCCTGAATATTGCTTGTGAGTGTTGTGATGATTACTTTTTGTCAACTTGACACAAACTAGAGTCTCCTGGGAAGAGGGAATCTCAATTGAGGAATTTCCACCATTGGGCTAGCCTTTGGCCAGCCCTCCGAGGCATTTTCTAAATTGGTAATTGATGCAGGAGGGCCCACCCAGCCCACTACAGGCCAGCAAGCAGCATTCCTCAGTGGTGGCTTTATTCAGTTCCTGCCTTGGCTTCCCCCATGATGACTATACTCTGTAAGCCAAATAAACCTTTTCTTCCCCAAGTTGCTTTTGTTCATAGTGTGTTTCACAGCAACAAAGTAAATTAGAACAAGGATTTTATGAAGATGCAGTCCAGTTTTACCATCAAAAGAAAAAAAAGGAGTTCATTCTTACCATAATTAAGAGCTTCTGGTGCTGTCCATTTAATTGGAATCTGCTTTAAGCCAGAAGATGAATACACTCCACCGTCCTCTTGACGAGACATTCCAAAGTCACTGATTTTCAGAATGTTATTTTCACCTACCAGGCAGTTTCTTGCAGCAAGGTCCCTAAGTTATAACAAGACACAGAAAACACCTATTAAAACAAATTGAAAAGTCGCATTCACATTTATGACTTCCACACTTTGCATTTTCACATTTGCAGTGTATTTATAATGAGGTTAAGAATGCTGGTGATTTACCCGTCTTCCCATCTATTCTGTCACGGTAAAAAGCACCCATGAGAACATTTGCATATGGAGCAGGCCACATGCTAGTTTTCTAGGTATGACATTTATTTCCATTTAAATAGAAAAACAGATTCTGTGTTAAAAGAGAAAGTCACAGAGAAGAAGCTAAGAGAATTTGACAAATTCCCTGTTGACTGGCTTCCCTAGGGCAGCACTGCCCAACAGAACTGCCTGGAATAATGGACTGCTGTCTACACTCCCCCAAAAGGTAGTCAACCGCTGTATGTGCTGCTGAATACTTGCAGTGTAACTAGTGTGACTGAGAAACTGATTTTTCATTTTATAATTCTAGTTTATTAAATTTAAATTGTGGCATGTGGCTACAGTAACAGGCTATCCCTAGAGCTTCTCAAAGGAGGGAAAATGACTAAGGTGGTGATGGCATGGGCAACATCTTACTACACCTAGTACAGGCAAAAATACATGGTGACCTGGTTTTGTCCGCTCCCCCCTCCCTCATCCCCAGGTTCTACTCTCCCAATCATGTACCATATCAAAGTGAACAAAACAAACTTCCTTCTCTAATTCTAGTGAGGACATTCGGTAATTAAATCCATATGTAAATAAAACTCTGTGTGTGTGTGTGTGTGTGTGTGTGTGTCTGTGTCTGTGTCTGTCTGTGTATCACACATGATTTTGTGTGTATGAGTATAAAGAAGAAAAAAGTTGGTAAGGGGACAGAGATTTAAGGATCCTAGATTAATAGGCATGTAGGGAAGGTCTCTTTGATTATATATTTAATTAAAGGCCCGAAGGGAGGGTGTGTGTCAGAGGTAGGAGGTGTGGTAGAGACAGTTACTTCCTAATGTCCATTTCTTGAAGTAAAGATGGCTATGAAGCATCTTAAAAGATGTTCAACATCACTAATAATTAGGGAAATGCAAATGAAAACCACTTTAAGATTTCATCTTACCCCAGTCAGACTGGCTAAGATCAAAAGAACAAATGATACCAAATGCTTTTGAGGATGCAGAGAAAGGAAAACAATCAATGCCGATGGGATTGCAAACTTATGC